TTTCATGCATTAATTTTATGTATCAATCGTATAATTTATAGTTTTCAGAAAACGTCTATTTCCTGAAGCTATAATCTGGCTTTTGCATAGGCTCCGGATGTACAGTGTTCCTCAAATTGATTGATCCATTACATTTATGTTTTTCTATTCATTCCTTTGAACGTGCAAAGCCTTGTTTTCGTTCAAGATGTAAAATTGAGCAAGTTATACCTTCCATCTTTCTAACGTCTACATATGCCCGTCATCATTGCTATAGATGATCTTCATGCTAACTAAAAACAATAATATTTTGTTACCAATGTGTACGAATTACTGACGATTGTATTGTCGTTTGATAACAAGACAGTCATGACATCATACCCGGTCATGAAATACTCCGATTAATTACACAGCACAGACTGACAAATTATGAGTGGCGAGTTTAGCCTGTCGCGTTGCCAAGCCAATTAACAAGCCGTTAATTATTCTCAATCACGACTACGGAAGCCGAATTGCCCAGAGAGTTTGATTTCACATGATCCGATCATGTTTGATCTTCTTATTTAGATAAGAAACGCCAGGTAATATATAACACAAATACATTATTGCCCCTAATTAGTAAAGATTTTTATGTGCGTTGAAACAATAAAACGTATCTATCAGGTCGTGATAAGTGAGTTGACGTGGTGCGGCTGTGGTGGGTTATTATTGAATTGAATACCCAATGAATTCATTATTAACAACTATTTTAAAACCATCATGAAATTACAAAAACAATTGCTTCTTTCGATAAAAAAGTGTCACGAGTGCGCACGTGGCACATTAAAGAACACAGTAAGAAACGAGAACGATACATCCAATTTAGGTATTATTAGTGACGGACTTCAGTGGATGAAGCCTCAAAGTTCTGCATCAGAGCCCTAGTTTAATTTCTTCAGTGGTGCCTGTCACTTCAGAACTAATGATTGACCAGACAGAACATTGCATGGTGGCAGCGTTAGGCCAGCACTCAGCACGAGCATTACAATTATATTTCTTGTCCACACACACATGCAAATGATGGACGCTCGTTTGGTGGCCTTGTAACATGCGCTGCAACTCGCACACCAATAGTTGATGGATTGCTTACTAGCGTGTCTGATTCATGCAGGCGTATTAGTGAGCGGTTAGTGATCGAGATATTATAGTGAGTAGTTAGTGAGATATTAGTGAGTGATTAGTGAGTTATTAGTGAGTGGTTAGTGAGTTATTAGTGAGCTGTTGGTGAGATATAAGTGAACGGTTAGTGAGATATTAGTGAGCTGTTGGTGAGATATAAGTGAACGGATAGTGCGACATTAGTGAGCGGTTAGTGAGTTATAGTATTTTTAGCAGCCAGTCTAGATTCACGGGTGGTGCCACCGAGCAGGCTTCAGTAGTATGACACAACTATCAGTAGTACTGTTACTGTTAGTACTGTTAGTACGGTTAGTACTGACTAGTACTGTTAGTAGTACTGTTAGTACTCACTGTTGGTCGACAGCATGCATCTGTTGATTTGTTCCCTGCAAAGTAACTGGAATTTCAAGCCCTGTAAATTTTTAGACAGTATTTGCGCTTGAAATTTTCTAGCAGGAAAAAATTCCGTTAAATAGACGCCAAATAGTTTTTAAAGATTTCCATATATTGGATGTAAATAGTAGGGTTTCTTTTATATTAAAATTTTAAATTTATATTTTCTTAATTAATAACTGCTATACTGTTTGTAAAGTTGCTCGCCTTCTCATGTTGAATGGATGGCAATTGCAGTAACATACGCAAAAATGAGATATGAACTCGTGGAAGATATTTCAGAGTAGACTGAAAATTTCTACATAAATGTGCAGTTTTAAGTGCTCAGCTTTTAATAATAAAGTAACAAGCGAAAAATACACTAATTAAGAATAAAATTAAATTGTTGACTGACTACGTCATGTACCATTAATTACCATAGAATTGTTAGTAGTTTCAGCTGCTGCACTGAATGTGAGTGAATTTAATTACTTACTAGAACTCTCACACCTGCAGTGCTGTCATAGCGACTTAACTTATGCATATGCGCATCACACTCGTGACCTCTATAGCTCCTACACACACTCCACAACGTAGACTAATGCGGACAACTGAAGATAATTAACTGGTCTAACTCACGGCCAGTTTAAATTATTTACTTAAGGCAGCATTATTACTCCGGAATATTTATTTTCTTATGTAAATAAACAAAATTATTCTTATATTGACTGGTCTTGGGCTACAATTATGAACAGACTAAAGGATAATAAACACTTAAATTTGTTTCCTAGCGGTGACCACTGTTACCTGCCCATAGATTCAAATAGCATTGACTGTACTAAATATATCTCTTATGTTATGTTTATTTTATCATCGCATCAATCGTTCCGCATTAATTGTTGAATGGCGACCGTAACATTAATTGGAATCTCACGGTATTCTTCTTTGTCGCATTGCTACGTGAAGCTAGTCAACCTCATTATGCGAGCAGCCTTGATAATCTTCTTCTACTTAAATCCTATATAATTCATTCAATTGAGAGCTATTGCTATTGCTATTAGAGCTTCTTTTTCTTGAACATTTCTTCTCGCTTCGAGTCACCGACATGTGGAACAGCCTCCCTGATAGCATCGCTCCGAGTATGAACGTCTTCAAAAACAGACTAGACGAAGCTATGCAGGAGCATATGTTCAGTCTTAAAATGCCTAGCAAATTACGGACCAGGCAATAAGTCCAGCAGCTATCTCAATCAATCGTCAGCTATGGAAAGATCGGGTTCCAAAGGCCGGATCCCTTGTGAATCAAGTCACGAAAAGTTCAAGAATCGGCAACAGGCCATGGGCCTATTTCTTCAACGCCGACACTTCTATTCTATTCTATTCTATTGCTCTTATGTGCCATGTTAATCCGGTGGGAACATTATTATTTTCACCGCAATCATTCATATCCTTGTTATTTAAAATATTTTCCATTCATTGTGGCTTTTTCTATTCTTTACGCTTAACAAATTGGATGAGCAAAACAAATTTTTGAATTGCATGATTTTATTTTATAACATAACATGCACAAATAATGTCACAACCACTTGGATCCTCAGCAGACATCAACCTATTGTCAGTTCAGTCATCCTGACTGCCGTAGAATTGCATGGAACTTGGATACAAGAATGAAAATATCCTAAAAATGTTTTTCATAAAATGAAAATTCAAATCTTCGTCTAATTATAAGTAATGATTCGATACATTCTATGACAGTGATAAATGTTTGGAATTCTTTTCAAGCCATCCCCCAAACGCGGCACAAAAATGTAAAAAATAAAAAATTTTCCGCAATTTTTTCCCAACTTCAAATACGTCCTCCTAATTTATTGATCATTATGCCAGAAATCAACGAATGCAAAAAATTATTAATTTATTTAAAACGCAAATATGCAAGTCTCGTACAATATTCATTCCATGGAGGTTCGAAACGTGCAAATTGCTCGAACGAATTAATTTTTAGCCATTACGACATTTCCTATAACTTTAAACGAAAAATATACGATGCCGAGGGAAATATAGCGCCGTGTTCTCACCCTCATGAGCTCAATCAGAATCTTTCAAACGAAACGGCATTTTTGAACATTAAATGGATCAATAGTGCTCTGACTGTAGCTAAACTATTGGTTACAGAAAAACTGCAAAGCATTTACTAGACCTCATTCATCAGCATTTATATAGTTGAAATAAAACATTTTATTTTAATTATCGCGTTCCTCTTTCACCACAGTCAGGGACTGGCGCGCGAGCTATCATATGCGTATTCAAGGAGCGCAGCCTAAATTGGTTGGGTTAGCACGCCTAGGTGGCTGTGGGATTCGCCAGACTGTCAAATTCTGCATGTTCATCGGTGAAAACAATTGATAAGGTTCGAATAATTTCGATCGAAGATATGTCGTGGTCCAAAAATTATTATTCGAAAATTTTGAGCAGACAACGTGAAATTTTGATCCACTATACGAGAACAAATGCTATGCGAAAACAAATGCGATTGCTTGCAATAGAGGAAGCTAGAAGGAATGTTCGCGTATCGTTCCCATTGGTGTTCAATCATGGTTGCCGGCATCATACTACAACTTAGGGCATTGAGACTTGTTATCCCTAGCATGGAATAGAGAATTCAAGATCTTTTTGCTTGGATTAGGAAATGAGGAAAGTTTTTAATCATTTTGCAGATTACTTCATTTCCAGCACTGTGCGCTAAAAATAAGTGCTACTGCGAAGCATTCAGACAGCAGTTGAATGATAAATTGATTGTGTGTATATGAAGATTTTTCCACAATATCAACAGATGGCAGACCCACTGAAGAACATCAAACCGGTCAAGTGTTTGTCCTGGAGCGGTTATACTGTATATTGCCAAAATACGCGTATACACAATTGCACGAGTGTATTCATATCCTATATCGGAGTGTAGAGGCAATGGTCTCCCGTTCACACTAGGGGCAACACATGGGCATCAAGCGCCTCACCGCTCCTCTACGTGCGCTTCTTGTGGGCAACGAAGCGATTACCGAGCTAGCGATTCACAGTCACCCTGCCTCATGCAACACAAGCGCCGCACTCAGTGGACGGCTGTCCGTGGTCTAGTGAGTTTGTTTGTATACGCTGGTCCTTCACTGTGGCAACCAACGTCACACTTGTTTGGACTCACTCTCTAGTAGAGTAGCTAATTGATATTTGTAGAGACCATGAATGCCTATAGAGACTTCAGTCGAAAACAAAAATGTCGAAATACAAAAGAACAAGCTCTGGTGAAAATAGTTGAAGTTTTAAAAAACTTTTGTGTACAAGTCACCATTAACGAAGTTCGCAAGAAAATCAATACGTTGCGTTCGCAATTCCATCGTGAAGCGAATTTCATTGCAAATCATCTCAATTCCTTTATCCTGCTTCTGGATGAGTGGCATTATTTTTTTAGCAGACTGTCAAACAAGTCCACTGACAGTCTAGTATAATTTTGAAAGTCTGATGCATTCGCAACTGGTAATTTTTTTATGTAATTGTATAAATCGTGTTTGTGTAAATCTTAACAGCAGCACACCCAAGAACAATGGCCCGGAGCTCAAATTCGGTCATATCCATCTCCACTAATGTCTTATTAAATGGCATCTAATCTTCAGAGCGCGCTGTCTCGAGCTTCTGTGTACAAAATTAAGTGTGAACGGTTGTGGGCGGTGAGGCGCTGCAGCAAGCGCCTCACCGCCCATGTCGTTGCCCCTAGTGTAAACGGGCCTGGCGCGCGTGTTCCCTTTTATGCGCGGCTTTTGCGCGCCATACCAACTTCTTCACACGCGGGTGATCGCTGCTACCTGCAGCACCGGCCTGCGGTCGGGGTAGCAGGATACCTCGGTAGGGTAAACACTCCCGACACTTAAATGATTTTGATCGCCCGCAGCATGTCGCCTAAACTCCCTCGATTATTGTCGGGGTAGTATAATTAATAGTTTAATTTGTCACTAGCTTGCATCGTGGTCGAAATGAGCAAATTAATTTGCGGGTGCATTTCCTGGGGTAATGATTCATTGAATGTTTGAAAGGTATAGAGTATTGCACTCTTACATCTCTGGTCAAATTATTGAAAATGCCTTAGGCATTTTCGACTTATGATAAAATTGCCAGGTTAGGTTAGTTTAGATATCAAAAATATACAGTCGTTTTGAATAAAAACACTAAAAAGAAAATGTTGAGTTGCAATTCATCTACTTCTGGGTGTAGACGAATACAACATCACCACTTCGACCGAACCAGGTCTATACCTATCACTAAAAGTAAGGCACAAATTAAAGTAAAATGTACACATAATTACAAATACCGGTTGAAACAACGTTACAAACAATCAACAAAAGCGTACTGTCCCTATTAGTTACTCTACAGCTAAGTTTGCACAGCTCGATGATTGCACGTAAAACGCCTCCTACCGCGGACTCACTTGATTGCCTATCCAGGGATGGAATCTCGAGACTTTGCTCATGTTTAGTCTCGAGGGCCCCATATCGGGGGACAGGGAGGAGACTAAAGGGGGGTTCGAGGGGCTCATCAATATCACAGGCGATTGTTCCTCTCCAAAGGCAGGAGAAGTCGTGGTTGAGGTTGTTGGTGTGTCGTTTGCAGAAGTCGTCGGTTGTGGATTACCAAGAATGTAAGATTCGACGCTGAAGCTGATCCTGCTTTTGTTGCTGGTTGGGGGTGTGGTCGTGGTCGATGAAATGGCGCTGGGTGAAGAAGCAGCCAGCGGGGTGCGGGACTTGGGACGCTTCTTGTTTGAGTCGGGCTGGGTGGAGTGGACTGGAGAACTGGACTCGGAGTTCTGGGGTCTGTCATCATCTTCGCTCTCGTCACCCACGCGCTCCTGCAGAGCTTCGTGGTGATCGCGTGCATCTGGTGGGTAAAAGGAGAAAATGTTTATAGTTGGATCAAATATCATGTGTTAGGGTTCCAATGAATGAATATGAATTGTTAAATTATATCACAATTTTTTGCGTGATTATAAAGTTGAATGCAATTGATGAGAATTTAATAGGGGCGATACGACTCAGCGGTGGGACGTATCGCACTCAATGTGTTAAATGAAGTGTGAGTGAGGTATCGATGGTGGATTTTTTTAAACTTCTAATTCACTGAATTCATGTTGATGTAATTGGAGTATAACATCACGCCGTTTGAATCGGATTGTTCGATTTATAAATGCAGTTCATACTTGCTGAATATATTTACTAAGACATAAATACATCTAACCTAAAACAATTACCTCTGAGATGGTCGGGGAGAGGCCAGGAGTTGCTGGGGGGCTTATCAAAGGGCCTGATGGGTCCGTAAACACACGGAGGCCCTCCAGGTGCAGGGGGCAGCGCTAGGGTGGACAGCACCCCAGGTCCCCCGTACAAGGCGGGGGTAACACCCGCTAGGTTGGGGTATACGGGCAGCAGGCCGTAGTAGTTGCAGCCCGCGGCACGCGCGAACTCCGCTGCCGTGCGCTCGGCGGCTCTGTTTCTGTTCACAGAGAATTTGCTTATGTTAATAGGGTGCTGATGCGCTGAAGTTTAATATATGTTGTTATTATAGGGTGAAAAAATGCGGAAGCACGAAGAATTTGAAAAAATTTAACTGTAATGATCGTTCAAATAACGGTCAATATTTGGTTTCGCGGAACAATGAACACAAATTTATTTCCGTTTTAACAAATAGACAGTACGAAATTGACTGATATTGTGAAAAAATCATCGGTAAAATGGGACAGTGAGGCGTTAGAGGTAAAATTTACCAGCAAAGTCACACACTTTTAGTAAAAAAAAATTAAATTATTCAAGGACTTGAAAATGGTTATTCTTCGAGTACTTGACCAGACAATGGCTGGAAAAATGTAGGTGATGTAGAATTAAGAATTACTGCAATTTTGTGTTGAAAACTTGTTGATTAGTACCGTCAATAGATCATAAACAATACAGCAGCAGAAATGGGACATTAGACAATAAACTAATAATTGCATCAGAATGATATATATTCTAACCTGAGGATTCTGTTGATGGATGACACGGAGGGGGCGGTGTTGGTGGTACAGACGTTCTCAGAGATGAGCTTATCACGGATCTCCCATGCAAAAATTGTAGGATTTTCCCGCTTGTAGGACTCAATTTTGTTGACAACTTGAGGAGTCGCCACTTTAGGTTTGGATCCTCCGATCATGCCGGAAGGTCGCAGGGAACCTGTCCCACAAAAACCTGCCAATAAGACACGGTTGTAGCGGCCCTATTTCTTTTGTTCTTATCAGTGGAAGATAATTTTTGTTAACTTTGTTTCATCGTAATCAAGATTTAAAGTTTAGAAAATGCCGGTACCAAGTAAAATTTGAAGCTCTCTTCTAAAATATGTTCAACTAACGATTAATCAATCAGGAAGTAATGATTACTTGACAAACAATTAACTAGCAATTTAGCTCAACATTTAAACGATTAATTAGTAATAAAGGGAGAAAAACCATGCGTGTGAATGGAACATTTGTGAGACGTCAGTAATGCAATTGCGGCGGGTAAGAATGAAATGATCATCAATTTATAGAAAGCCAGTTATGTGAACAATTTGGTGTGCGGAACCTGAGCCGTTACAATGAAAATAGTTGAATTTTTTAAAAAATTTCTTTAACTTGATAACTATATCTGAAAATTCAGGCACATACCGGAATAGAATTTAGAAATATAAGTAAATTATATCTGGTATTGTTGAATTATATAGAAAGAATTAATGCTATATAACTTTCAAGTAATACGTACAAATACTTGTTTGAGAGAAATATAACATTTACAGAGCTGCAATATCACAAAATATGAATTTAGTTTGGATAGCATCCCAAACGTCAGAATTATCAAGTCAGTTTTTTTGTTTGAATAAAAGAGCGAAACATTGTGGATGTATGCAAAGAATTTGACTTACTTAATATTTTAGCCATGGTCGCCGTCTGTTGTTGGAAGATGTCGTACTGTCTAATAGGGGCCATGTTGGTGATGCTGCTGGGGACGTGGGACAAAGGTGGGGCCGAGCTGACTGTGGCACTGGCTCCGTGTGTTGGGAGGATGGCCCCGGGTCCGTAGCGGGCCGCGGCGGCAGCGGCCAGGGCCACTGCCTCAAAAGACGTGGGGGGAAATGGGCTGTTGTGCCCAGCGTGTGTCATGGCCGTGAGGCCGCTGTGTGTTGGGGCCATCACGATGGGGCGCGTCGGGAAGCCTTCCCGACCAGCTGCACAGAGAGAAGAAACGTCCAACTTTAGGAACAACGAATGTGGACTTGATTGACATTCTTAGAATCATGTTTGAAGAACAGTGGCCATATACTTTCAAAACTCACTAAGTGAACGTAAGTACTTACGCTCTATTTTCTTGTCTATGATTGGCGGATTTTTCTTGAAAGGCCGTCAATGATTGGCTAATGAACTTACGATCTCTTAACTTTTTTCGAAAGTATAGGCCCAGGGCAGCGACTTCAAATAATCTCTTCTTCACAATGTTTACAATAATTTTTCTCGTTACTTGTAGGGTATTCATTACAAATCGCGGGATTTGCGCAGTAATGTAAAGCAACCATGCAATAATAAAAGTTGAGAAAAGGCTGAACAATTTACCCACTTCAGTTGTATAGTAATCAGACCAACACGTAAATTATTTGATATATTATTTCAGGACTGCGATTGAAGTTCTCGATATGAAGCCATAATCGTCTCTCGTTTCCGAAATTTTGTTTCTTAGTAAGAAGCTAATTAATTTGCAACAGCGTAATAAAGTAGCATGCAGCAGCGCTATGAAGTAGCATGCAGCTGAGCTATGAAGTAGCATGCAGCTGAGCTATGAAGTAGCATGCAGCTGAGCTATGAAGTAGCATGCAGCTGAGCTATGAAGTAGCATGCAGCAGCGCTATGAAGTAGCATGCAGCAGCGTTATGAAGTAGCATGCAGCAGCGTTATGAAGTAGCATGCAGCAGCGTTATAAAGCTATTCTCATTTGCATGATGCTATTCTTGAAGTCTATTAATTAACTCAACTTTCGAATATGCTTTCCTAGACGACGAGTTTTGAAAGAGTGGAGTCGTGGAGGCCAAATTGCGGAGAATTGTTTCAAAATTCATACAAGAAATTAAAATAAATGCGTAGTTATTAGGTGATTTACAGGCTAATTTTACCAATAAAACGATACTATCAGACATAAAAAGTAAATTATAAATTCATTATTTTAGATTATAGATTATATCAAGCATTGTGTGAGATTGCTATTGCAATCTAATTCTTGATTAGCCATACATAAATAATAAATTAATCGTCCTCCTGATCGAGGTGATCGAGTTGCTATAAAGACATTGAGCATATCCACAACGGACCGAACGATTGCTCATCATGAATTTGTAAATAAAATGCATCCAGTATTGACGAGAAGATCTGCGAATAGGTTATTTGCTTATTTCTACCAGGCAATATTCAAACATGTGTATGTAGAAATAAATATTTTTGCCACCACTCATCAGGTGAGTAACCTCATGCACTGGCTTAAATTTCGAAGAAAACCTGGACGATTTTTTTCACGTCATCTCATTCATTAGAGGTTAGTTATTCCCGGCACTTTACCACCATCTTACAAGGAATATTGTTAACATTTTTATGCCTTTTATTGGAGAAATTTTTAAATTTATTTAAGAATATTAATTATTAGTCTGCAGGTATAAGATATACCTACAGTAAATATCTTTCTATAAAAGTTAGGCACAAAATAACAGATTAGTAGCAAGCGATGCCCTTTTAGACGAATTCCTTCTTATATACACGATAATTGAATGATCGAGTCAGTTTTGTATTGAATGAAACTTGAAACAAAGCAGTTCAATATTGACGAGTAATGTGAACGAACCAGTTCTATATTAAAAAGAATTTTAAACGAAGCTGTTTTACATATAGACACAACTAAATTTATTCTGCAGAATGTAAATTTTACAAATTCTAAAGAAGAGTATCTATTTATCTTATAACTCATCCGATCCTAAATCTCAGTGACAAAATTCTTTGACCGTCCATGCGATAGAAAGATATTTAAATAAATAAATGGGACAATATAATGTTAATAGTTTTCGTCCCATAAGCACATTTACGAAAATGTGGGGCTAAACATACGATAAATGGGCATGTTATTTCGTAAAATGCATATCGTGAAGGATTTCTACCATGATTAATGGCTGACATTCCAAATATGTTGATTCTGCTCTTCTGCTTGTAAGCAAATAATAAACTAGTGATTCAAACCATTTTGTATTTTCGAATTATTTATCATTTATCGATGCTACATTTTATGATATCTATTCCTGCACTCTTCTCGATAATTCGTTATATAATTCACAATTTCCAGACGTGAGTTTCGAGGGTGTTTATTTCCAAAAATCGCCGTGGTAACTTAAGTAACCTGGAAATGGTGACCAATTCTGAGAAGAAAACATCATTTACACAATTAAAACCTACAGTTCATGTAGGTTTGCGTTTTAACCATTGCACGATAATGTTCAACTATTAGCGGAATTATGATACGAAAGAAAGAGAAATATTTCAACGCATTCATGAATTTCGAAGAATATCTCGTAATTTCTATATGCTTTTTTTTGGCAAAATCCTTATATCTTATGGGTATATTATTTAAAGGGGTCAATCTATGTATTTTATGTATATTAAAAAATATACCATCTTTGCACAAAAGATATGGCAATCGACTGTATTTAATCGTCATGCAAATCTGGCAAGTTTACCTGGCGCTGCCCGGAAAAGATAAATCTCTACAATTTGAAAGTCCCGTTATCCTGCATCCTGTGATCATGCAGTTCGAATACAATCCTCTCGTTGTCCGTACCCAGTTAACAATTTAGAAACTAACGAACGGTATTTAAATAATGCTCCGCTTCAACCAATATTTACCATATAAGACTCCCGCTCAGCTCGACGTTTGAATTTTCAATACCACTTAAATTTTTTATAACGAAATAAAATTTCGCATATTAAACAAAAAATTACATTTTAACTTCATAAATTAATCCTTTCTATCCCTTTCTTGAAATATATTGATATTTGACTGCTGTAGGTATAAAATTGCAAAAAGGCAATATCCCAATACGATATGAATAATGGATACCGTACATATAATATGCACCCGTACAGCCCCTATATAGGTTTATAGCACCAGACTTTTAACTCTCACAAAAACATACAAACCTTGAACAAAATATGGACGATTTTTCTACCACCCAATGTTCACCTTCTACTCATGAGTTCAATGGGTACATTGTTGGAATTAACTCATTTGAAGCATGCTAAATGTTAATGCATTCCATGGATGGATAAATGTTAATGGATTAAAGTTTTCCATGCTATGGAAAAATTTGACTCATGCAAACTTTGTAATTAGGCATAATAAAATATATGATACAAGTTCTCATCCAGCACTTCGAATGTTTTCTTTCAAGAAGTTGCATTATTTTAGGATTTGTGATAGATGATAAGTAATTCAAACGAATAAGTTGAGTTTCCAAACATGAGAACGAGCTAATAAACTGTGGGCTCTTATATAGTCATTTCAGTTCCGACCATCACGACACAACAGTTTATTTCGAGTGAAATGTGAAGCGGAAGTAGTTACTGTTTGGCAGATAACTTTGCAAAAGGCACATGAAAATTGATATGGATATTGTGAGCCATAAGTTTATTAGAGATTTCCGTCGTGCAACAACAAGTATTTCCGTCGCGTGCTACGTTATATGGTCCAGCGTTACAGAAAATTCGGACCATCAAACTTTGAGTTTCTTAAAATTTAGACTTCTTTAACTTGTAACCAATTTAGTTCATGAAACTGATTTCAATCAAGTGCCTCTGCACTTGCTTGCGACTGACCAATCATTATTACAAGTAAATTATTTATTCGACATTCCTGTACTTACTTGTATCATTTAAATGTAGCGGAACAATTTTTTGTTCCATTAAATATAAATCGGTGCAGCTAATCAAAACGACGAACCAAGTTCTTAGCAATTTTATTCTACGGTAGTAAGAACATATAAATTATTTTAACCGACATTCCTACAAATTCCTAACGTACTACTTCTGTGATTTTCACTGGTATATGCATAACACTGGTAATAAAGTTATACAATTATGTACTACTTTTGTTACAGGTACTGCGTACAGTATTACAGTGGTTATTTCTGTCATTATTCTGAAGTTTATTCGCCAACACCTGCAGTCAACTTACGTGGGCTGTAGTAAGGCAGAACTGGAGGCATTGATGTCATTCCTCGACGGCAAGAAATTTTAAAATTAGACTCCAAACAAAAAATGGTAAACTGATACTCAACAATTCAAAAAGTGCGATTCCTTAATAAAATTATGTGCTTTTTGTCATTACTTTCCAAGATGGCACCACAATAAATTATTTGAAGTTGAGGTCACTTAATTGGTTGCTTATGATTAACGTTAGTGACACAGCGAACGCTCGATATATAAACACAAGGAGCAGCAAAGTACGACGACGTGCACACACCAGGCAGCACTTGTGAACTGTAGAACTTCGCGTGGACTATGTATATGCGGCGCACCAGCCCACCTGTGTTGTTCCACCTGTTCTTTCCAGCAACCAATCCTGTTCAGTGGAGGTCTGGACGGTGCTGGACAATTGGCGCGGGCGCTTCCAGGTGAGAGCGGTAGCCAGGTAGGGCTCATGCCATTGGCTGTTGATGTGTAATCCATGCCTCATGGCGGACGCGGCTCATTTCCATGCGCACTGAACAGGGAGGAGCGAAGGCAGCGTCTCCGTAGGTACTCGAGCACTTCATTTGTACAAAGGAGGAGCCTGGCACGAAGATTCAGGAGTCGTATATTCTCAATTATTTCATCTATTGAAACTTATATAACTCCGATTAGTTTTCAATTATACACAAAGAAACGCTTAAAAATGGCTAAAGCATAATTCAATCCTAAGACCAGTGAAGAGGATGGTACAAAAGCCCGCATTCCAGCAGGCAGAAGACGAGGGCTGCGTGCTGCTCGGTCGCAGTGGCCGGCGCGCAAGTATCACTGATCACAATGGGCGGCTCTCCCTCTCATTTGCGTCACTTTTAGGCAAGCCTCTAATTTATGGCAGGACTCTCAGCGAACGCCGGCCGCTGGATCACCGGCTGCTTGCAGGCGACTCAAAAATTGATCGTCTCGTGGCCATCGAAGAGACGCCTGCCATTTGCTACAAGGCAGCTGAGGATATCATATCAGTTTGCTAAAGACATGTTCTCAGTATTGTTGAGTAAGCAGAGTATTTCGCTCTATTGAATGTATTATGCGATGCACTATTGCTCCTTCTTAAGTCTCTTAATTTCCGCTTATATGTACGACAGCTAGGATTGCTCTGATGATTTTGATGATTCAATTAAACATCGTTGACCGCACAGTTGATAATTGAACCTATTCAAAATACTTTATAACCCTCGTGCAACAATTAAGTGTAAGAAGTCTCAGGGCCATCGATAGACCTGTTGTAGGAGAAAATTCTTTCTTCTTCTGTACTGATAGATTTAATATTTAATCAGAATCAGAATGACAATTGCCGGATGAGTTCATCACGCAGGTTGCAGCACAATTCAATACCAGTGCTTTTGTAAAGGGGACACGGACTAAACTCGACGTCTAGGACATTTGCTCGGACCTTCACATATGCTCTACGCTAGGGCCCACTGGCCCAAGTTTCTTAATTTCTGTAGCATTGATCTCATGGTCGATTGCGTCACGTTTGCTGATCAACCTTCTGTCTGAGTTTGATATATTAAGTATAATTTTACATTAAACTTAATTTAAAGTAATTGGTAATTATAATCTATTATTGATATTTGATTATACCCAGTGGTAACAATTCTTTGAATTGAAATATACTAATGTTTGATTTAAATTTTATACTTCCAAAAATGTTTGATTACTTAAGTACCGATAGTATTATGGGTGCGAGAATTAATTTGCCTTAATTGGCCCCTGACGATACCTTAAAAATTTCGGTATAGAATCGAACTGATCTGCCTCGACATCAGTCTACGGATCTAAGAACCCTAGATTAAAAACAAGTTTATTTAATGAATTGTGAATCTTGGTTTCTGCTCATGCTGAACTGAAATTCGTAATACAAGTCTATATCGTTGGTCTTTACATGGTCGCAGAATTACCTGCAGGATTGCGTACGTCTGATGGCTGTGATTAAAATTTAACAACATACAGCAAATTGGTTTGTAATGGAGTAGTTTTTACGATGCAACGTCCAGCTGAATATATCGATAAAATATTCATGCATAATTAATGTTAAATTATTATAAGATGGCATAAATTTCATGTTTATATGCTTACAATTTAATGGCCAGAGAATGCTTAGAAAGTGCTCGTGATATATAGTCAATGCCGAAGATTTGAAAATTCCATTATTTCGAAAACGTTTATAAGAGGTAGATATTTTCGCAGTAATTTCAATTAAACATTTATCAATTCAATTCAATTAAACATTTATCAATGTTTAATTGAACGTTCAATTAAACATTTATCTCAGAATTACCAAGTTTAGAAATTTGAAGAAAATTTGATATTTAGCGAAAATTAAATATAGTCAATTATTAATAAAAATCTAAAAATTCATTCCAACCTCTCTTTGCCTTGTTTTAAAATGCCTCCTGAATCAACAACCAAATTAAAAATGTTAAGATCAGGTCAGAGCGACATCACCTGCCGTATCATGGATACGCACTTGAATAGATTTACCAGTTTAAAGCGACAAGATTCAAATAATAGACCGTGAAATAATTGATTGCGATGAATGATAATTCGCTCCTAAAAAAACATTCGAGGTTAAAATTTGCGGGACTTATGAAAAAAAAACATTCTCATTATTCCCCAAGTGAAAGTGAATTTCCACTTTGGATTCAGAGATTAGTTATGGAAAGTTTCATGACGGCAAGTCATCAGTTTTCGGTGAAAAGGACTTGAACATTACATTTTTTGTTGAATTAATAACCCGTATATTTATTGTTAGTGAGAAAATCTTTCATAGAGCGAAATATTTCTAATTCTAAACCAAATACGTTAAATTTGGTATCGGTCACGTAAATTGTGTTTCCGCTGTCGTATTTAAATTGGATTACCAAAGCAAAATAAAAGAACTGAAGCGCTGTGTAGCTGCAGAAAGTTTAGACCAGCTTAATGGCCTTGCCAAACAAAGACCTACATCAATCAAACGAATCTCCACTGTCTAGCAACCAACACAATAAAAAAGAGTCACACCTGTGTTTCCCTAAAACACACGCATACTTAAGAAGCAGGTAAAAAATCCGATGGAAAACTAACAAACTATCACCGCAAGACCTGCCTCAAAAAAATATCCGGAGCCAAGCTTTAGTCAAAGAGCTCGGATTAGGCGAGCGATGGAAGGTTGTTCAAATTGCGGTCCAGAAACAAAGATAGAATCACGAAATATGTTCCGCTCCGACGAATGCTTACTTCGGACCATAAACAAAGCTACTAGTTCCACTCTCCCATATAATGAAACGCCACCTTTTCAACGTCCCAACTAGAGCCTCGAAAGACGGCTTCATGAATTTCAAAATCGACGTCAAGATGACTCGATCTAAATTCCTGCGGTCGAATGCCGGATTTCATTTGGGTTGAATAATCGCAGCATTAATGATGTTGATCAAGAATAGAATTTATTGACCATGTTGTCATTTGTCGCCAGCGGAAACACGAAAGAGGTGAGTGCCATTCCTGTATAATCGATTTTTTCCTTCCAGAATCTTCTAGTTTCCCGCCTTATTAGTTATTGTCGTTGTTGTGGTTCCCCGGTCTCATTTTTACAAGAGTTGATCCTGTCCCCGGCCATGACCATATATAGGACACATCAGCACAGATGTGACCTGATGTTCACGGCCGCTGTAAAATATTCGTGAGGAGATTGCTGTCTGGTGTGTCATGCGAGCTAAGCGTGGCCACGCGTGTGCGTATGAAGTGTGATCTTGCGTGTGCGCGTGAGGTGTGGCTATATGCGTGTAAGCGTCAAGTGTGACCCTGCGTTGGCGGGCAAAGAATGATCTGGCGTGTACGCGCAAAGTGTGATCAGGCGTGTACGGGCGAAGTGTGATCAGGCGTGTACGGGCGAAGTGTGATCAGGCGTGTACGTGCGAAGTGTGATCAGGCGTGTAGGCGCGAAGTGTGATCAGGCGTGTAGGCGCGAAGTGTGATCAGGCGTGTAGGTGCGAAGTGTGATCAGGCGTGTATAGGTGCGAAGTGTGATCAGGCGTGTAGGTGCGAAGTGTGATCAGGCGTGTAGGCGCGAAGTGTGAACAGGCGTGATCAGGCGTGTAGGCGAGAAGTGTGATCAGGCGTGTAGGCGCGAAGTGTGATCAGGCGTGTAGGAGTGAAGTGTGATCAGGCGTGTAGGTTTTCTAAGCATTCTTTGACTCGCTTCCTTGGGTAGTTCAGTGTAAAGGATATCGTGATAGAACGTGCAAAATAAATTGATTCCGAATAGCGATGAGTGCGCGGGAAGCTTAAAAGCGAATATCGGGGCTACGTAGAATCGTTAATAGAAGTGGTATTTCATATTGAAAATTGAATGAGATATTGAAAGAAAAGTCGAAGAGTATTTCTCATTTATGTGTCTCCTTTAGAGACAAGGCAGTCCAAATTACATGCGTATAATTAATTAGAAATTATAAAAGCAGGCATGAAACTTAAAGGGATCTTCTACGTCAAAAAACGAAACATTCGGCTTTTGCATTTTAAAACTGATTTTATAACTGCTGCAAAGGCGCGTCGAATACAGCAAACTGCATGTTCGTACGTGCGTGCTTTAGCATTTGCGTGAGAGAGTATCAAATTTCTATAAAATGAATATTTTTTTTACAAATTTTAGCCGATTTTTTAGCCTCTACTTATTTTTTAATCCATTCCCCTCAGTTTGCTTCCTGAAAAATAATTGAAATTGCAAGTTTATTTTTTAAAATTTACCTTCTCATTTAATTTTCAAGCTAAAACATTGAGAAACGTTTTGATTCATTTAATGTTTGAATTATATAACGAACAAATATATATTATAATGTTCATTATGGTAAATGGAAAAAAGACCTATACATAATCGGGAAATAAGGGCTCCTATATTTGCTATAGATATTTACATTACGAATCGAATTATATGTCGTTCGATGTTGTAGCACGTATATTGAATAAGGAGTCTACTGTTTTTTCCGTTTTAATTAGGTGAATTTCAAGTTTTCCTTCATTTTCTCAATAAATTGATACGATCAAAAGGTTATTGTATTCGAGTTTCACACATGTGTATAAAATTTCAAAAAGATCGGTCAGTAAACACAGAATTTAATATTTAAGAATATTCGTATTATAATTAATAATATAATATTATTATTTCCCTTAATATTGTGGCACTGTCTCAATAGAACGCAAAGAGAAAGACAAACCCTGGCAAACGCATGGGGTGGAAGATAGGCGCGGTATGCGCAAATAAATATATTTATAGATCGCACGCTTCAACTCAGTACGCTAATACAAACATGAAATTTAGTCAACATAAAAATTACACGTGGCGCGATGCATGCCATTATTCGCCGATTA